GCGTATTTGGAGTTTCAGCACGAGAGCGCCCTCTGGCCTTTGGATGGAGATTTACTGCTGATCACAGAACCGTGCTTCACTGAAAGATACGCATGACAATCGCAGCTTCTGTCGAATCGCGATCTCGATTCCATTTCGATTTATCGTGCAGCCCTAGCAGGTACAGTGGCAAAAAGGGACATTTTTAGATTTGATTTAAACTGCACGGTCCTTTTTAATATAAGTGAATGTATCATGTCAGTTCTTCTGGAGCTCACACAGGTATCCTAGCAGAGTAAACACAAGTGTAAGCCAGTGCTATTTTAATATTTTGAATAGGTATAATATTTTGAATTCTCTATTTTATATTTCCTTTTTCATTTTAGTTAAATGCTTTAGTTTTTATTTTAATATAATTTATGAATATAATTTTATTTAATTTCAGTTTTAATTCAATTAACAAAAATGCTTTTAATAGCTTGAGTTAACTAAAACTAAAATATTATTTCTAAACTAAACAAGAGTTTATAAATAGTATTCATTACATTTGCATTAGCTTTCATTCATAAATTTTCAATTTTAGCTTAGGTTTTTTGTTTTGTGCTTATGTCAGTTGTACTAGTTTTGTTTTTAAACATTTCTATTTAGCTTCATTTGATTTGATTTTAGTTTTAGTACTTCAATACAGTTAATCCTAACAACACTGCATGACAAGCAATAAGAATTCAAAATGATTATCTTATTTGTGCCATTTTTGTTTAAAACAAATGACACTTCTTTTGACGTTTTGCCGTCTAATGCCATGAAAGCCATTCTTTTTATTACCAGAACGTTCTGAGACTGTTAGTTTATGTTGTATAAAATAACCTACACAGAACAATCCCAGAACGTTAGGAATTGGTTTCCAAACAGTACCAAATAGAAACCATACATTACATACAAACCATCAGTAGAACATTGTGTTTACCAGTACTGTAGTTTAATCATATTATCATAGTATGCATGGAGCAGTCACGTGACTGTCCCTAAACTCTGTACATTACTTGTAAGGCATAATTATGAAGATTATAAGTGTTACACCCACAAAATAATACCTATATAAATGTGGTTAACTATATAAATATAGTGTTCTTATTGTTGGGCGTATTTTGCATGGATTTCTACTAAAAAAGGCCCTAAAATGATGACAGATAAGACAAATGCACCTGCTTACCTCATGGTTCCTTTAAGCTGACCGATGACCGTCATTTTAGTGGTTCCTTCCATGTATCCCACGTTGAAACCAGCCTGTAGTGAGGCTTCTTTCCCTGCATCACTGCCATCTCTGTAACCATCCTGACAGAAAACCACATGGCAGTCGTTTCTAGACTGCGCTGCTTTCACTAGCTATACACCCATGATTGTTTCTTTTGCATGTCGCCGGTGTTTTTTTTAAAAACTCTTACAATGCATGAACGATCTAACACTCATTTAGATGGAAAAACAAAACGAATAAAAAAACGATATCAAAGTATTTCAGTAGAAGCATGTTTATGCATGTGAATGAAAGGTTCAGCATTAATAAATGGCTGTTCACGTACCTTTGCGCGTTTTTCCATGTTGAATTTCCATTCTTTGTTCTGCAGACTAATATCATCCACATCCTCGTCGAACACATCCTCACTAGACCTAGACGCCACTGATTTCACCCACGACATGATGTTTCCAAGCTATGAACCGCGACAGTTAATCTCACTGAGTGTGGAAGTCCGTCCTTCCACAGCATATCGTATGCCTTTTCAATATCAATAAATACCGCAATTACATTTTCTTTATTACTTTGAGCTTTCCTAATTACTGACTCTAGGCATAGTACAGAGTCCATTGTCCCCCTTCCCTTACGAAATCCAGATTGATGTGGTGATATAAGACCATTTTGTTCAATATAATAATCTAATCTATGTGTTACCATCCTTTCCATGGTTTTCCCTAATTGTGACGTTAATGCTATGGGTCTATAGCTAGATGGATCTGACGGGTCTTTGCCAGGTTTAAGTATTGGGATTATAACTGCTTGTTTCCATATTAATGGGAGTTTACCTGCATTCCATATCATATTAAACAGTCTTAATATTATTTCAAGTGTGACATCTTTCATATGGCCTAACATGCAATAGCATATACCGTCTTTCCCTGGTGTGGTTTGTCGCGTGTTTGATATAGCTCTTTCCAACTCAAATAGAGTAAATTGCTGATCCAGATCTCCCCCTGATGTAATGCTTCTCTCTATTATCCCTGGACTTTGAGCAAGTGTCTGGTCTCTATACTCCTTAGCTGTTGACGATAGATTTCCAGAGCTGTGGATCCTGAGTGTGAATTAAACGGAAACGTGTCAGATGAGTAAAAGACGCTCGCTCGGCCTTTAACAGGGTCCATAAAACACACATCCACGTGGTCATGTGACTGACGTCATCAGAATGCACACGAAGCTCTTTTCTTCTTCTAGTTGCTTCTGGGCGTATTTACACATCATATCGCCACCTGCTGGTCTTACATGTTTATTTGCATGTTTATTTAACCTGTGATGTCACGAATCATTTAACTTGATATACAGTATATATAACAATGTCCTAGATAAATTAGATTTAGTAACGCATATTAAAATTTTAATACCTGCAAAATTAGGAATTTGTTTGACTACATTATGCATAGTAGCTACCCAATGAAGACGAGCATGTGCTATAAAATAGGTACGTTTTTTTAAAAGAAAAAAAAAATACACATTTAATTTCAATTAATGTAATATTAGTTAATTATTATCATTATAATAATTATTGTTATTATTACTGCTTTACATACAGTAGTTAGAACATTCTATGTGTCTTTCTTTCAGTTTTGGTGTATTTTCTATTGGCACAACAAAAACCATCTTTCCAGAGTTTGCGAGTTTTGCAAGTTGTCAGAGGAAAATCAATTGAATAATGCTAACTGAAAATAATAAAATAACAGAAGTGGAAATAAACGAGTTCAATATTAATTATAAAATGAAACGTTAATTTTATTTGATATTATTAATATGAAATATTAATAGTGTACATTCAATAAAGTAAAATAAAAATAATGAGCATAGTACAAGTATGTGTACTATAGTGTAAATCACCGCTAGATGCCGCTAGATTCACATTAAACTGTGTCTGGTTTCAACAGACTGATTTGAGTTGATCCTTGTTCTGCGAGGTACGGTCAGTGTGCAGTGAATCGACTGTAAAGAGATATTTATTCAAATATTATTGGTGTAATGTAACATAATTTTTTCTTATAAGCCTTATAAGATCAATACATTAATTAAAGTGTCAACATCAATTAAGAAACATGAATTTATTTCTCAAAAAGTGCCATGTTTAATCTAATTAATTTGATTAGTCTAATTCAATGTATTTTGTTATACTGCTCTATTTAGCATATGTTGTAATGTGAAGAGGGTGAATCCAACTCAACATAACTGTGACCTTTATAATTATGCTAATTAAAACACCTCGTTTATCTTCACTGTTATTTCGGGAAAGGAATCATTTTCAGGTATGCAACGTTTAAAATGAGCTCTACATGAGTCATTTGTCATCCTCAAAGGTGCCTTGCACGATGGTGAATAGTGCTCTTGATCCTGGTTATAAATTATGTCTCATAATGGACCCAATTTTTACAAGCTCGTGTGATGTTCAGACAGTGAAGTGGCGCAGCAGGTGAGAGTTTTATGAGAAGAGAATAATCCTCTATTTGCCCAGTGGGTAGAAATGTATCCATTGAAGGTTCTTTTCCTCACCGTTAGCACTTTGTTCAGTGCTGATATCAGTGTGGAAAATCCAAATTCATCACAGGTGCTGGGAACCCTCAGGAATCCATGGTGAAATTTAATTGAAAAACCAACATACAGTGATTTTACTGCTTAGACTCAATAGAAAAGTTAAAAAGCTAAGCAAGTTTCAGCTTACAGTAGACTTTCATAACTGAAAACTTACATTTCAGCAAAAATCTAAGGTGATACAATTCTGAAATGAGCATATTTCAGGTTTATTTGAATGCATCCATCAATATTTACAGTAAACATACAAAACATACAGTTAAACATTTATAGAATGTACAAGAACAATAACTTCTAAATGGATAAATAAATATTCATTGAAAATATATATTTTTGCCTAACAGTAGACTTTCAGAACTGAAAGTGTACTCATGTACTTGTAAGCATCTAAGGTGTTTCTAGTTGTGTCCTCTTTTGGAAGGCCAAACAAAGTAGTTATGTTTTCACAACGAAACACACAGTGGCCTAGAGTGAGCGGCAGCCGGCGGGCTTGAGAACGGCGCGGCCACGTGCACATTTGGGCGGTGTTATGCAAATCTTCGCACATCGTGACGTAGACATGTGGGGGCGTGTTAGAACGAGCCGTTTTAGGTAGGTGTGGTTGACTCTTAACTTTTATAAAGAATATCTTTATATCTAGATTTGAGACTTTAGTCTTTGCAACTTTACAGATCTTCTTTATGAACCAAGAGCTTGTAACACTCCAAAGAGAAAGTAAAAATTAAAATAGCATCATATGACCCCTTTAAGTACAGTAATTATGAATGTAAAACATGATAGATAGACAGACAGACAGACAGACAGATAGATAGATAGATAGATAGATAGATAGATAGATATACTTTTTTAAATTATATTTATTTATTTAAAAATTATTAATTCAAGTTTTAAAATAAATGTCTTTAAGTGTTGGTACTGCACTTTCTCTCTCTCTCTCTCTCTCTCTCTCTCTCTCTCGCTCTCTCTCTCTATAACTGATATATAAATAACTGACTTTTTAAAATAAATATATAAATATAAACTAAAATAAATAAATAAATAAAATAAATATAACTGAAATAAATATAATTGATTTTATATTAGCTTCTTTCATTTTAACTCTAGTTCCAGCACTTTATACTGCCTTTAAAGCATGTTATCTTAGCGAGTAGCATCTTGTTTTTTCATTTTTTGTACTTAGGTGCTGGAGATACGCTACAAGTGATGACAAACACATTACTCTCATCAATATTGCATTTTCCCTTTCTTTCGTCCGCACCACAGAGACAAAGAAAAGAGGTCCCTGCTTTATTTTAAGATGGGCTATTCTTCATCTTGCGCTTTGTGGGAACACACAGGAGAGACGCAGCCAGTGGACAAATGCATTTCACCTTGCACAGAGTGCATTTGCAGAAGCCGGACAACAATGGCCCAGAGAATACTCCGGAGGGATGCAGCGAAGGCCTGAAAATGGATTCCGAGGGGCCTGCGGATCCGAGGCTTTTTGCCGCCACATCTTCCTCCAGAGCCGCGCTTTCCCCCTCACGCACTCTCCCTTCCTCTCTCGCTCTCCAGGAGAGCAAAACAAGCAGCCGGGGCAATCACCTGACACATTTCCATCCAATTTCCACTGCCGAATGTGTTCATTTTCGGCCCTAATGGCATGTCATTTCAGCGGAGCCTTTGGTCAAGAATTAATCCTGGAATCAAAACAGATTTTCCGGGGAGCAATCTTCCATCAAGTATTGATTTTTTTACACTCACAGAGCCTGTACTCCCTAATTTAACCTGACAGCACACTGCACAATGGACTAGAGAGCACCTTGGCGACTCGCAGAGGGAACTCTCTTGCGTTTTCTCTTTCTCTCTTGCTCCCACTTTTCACCCTCTCACCCCCCACCCCCTTCTTAAGAGCAGCTTTTCAAAAAGTCAGGGAGAAAAGGAGAATTTGGAGGAGAGGTTTAAAAACAAAGGACTTTGCTATAGTCACGTAGAAGGATAATGGGAGATACAGTCACTGTTTTACCTCTAATTATGCTTTCAAGTGCATCACGTCCAAGGCATGTAGGACAGAGAAGGGCTCTAGGAAAAGGAAAAGAGGGAAATTAAAAGAAAGAAGAAAAGGGGGAAAGAGAAAGGAGTGTTTTCCAGGGGCTATCAGGTATCATTATGGGCCTGTTGACATCCAGGACTCTCTGTGCAATGCACCTCTAAGATGTTCTCCTCCTCCTGCAGCCATTTTCTTTCCCTGAGTGGGAAAAAAGGGTTTCATCAGGGCCTGGAGAGGAGGAGAGGGGGGACAGGAGAGTCTGAATGTTCAGGGTGCAGCTGACCACTAATGAGTGGACCCTCCTGAAAGGGCTTCCAAAAACCTCTACCCTCAACCTGTCTCCTGGCAGAGGGTTTCCAGCTCATTTTGGAATTTCTGGGTTTCCAGCACTTATTGTCTCTTGTAGAACAACAAAAAAAGATGAGTTGCCATTGAGAAGTCTTTTAAGTCAAGCCTCTGTCTTAAACAATTAAATATGTATATTTTGTAAATTTTGAAAACAAAGAGATGCATGGGAGATTTACTTAAAGTAGTATTTAAATCAAATGAAAAAGGACTTTCTAATTAAATTATCTTATTGATCTTATTGTGAACAATACATCCATACATCTGTTTTTTTTATATAATATATATAATCAAAATGTAATAACTGTTTTCCAGTGAAACAGCAGATTAACGTTCATAAACCGAAGTAACAAATTGTGGTCTTTGTGTATAGCTAGTTACACATGTAGGAACAGGCTGTGGTCAAACAGGAATATTGTCTTTGACTCTGTGAAAAAGTCCTCTATTTTAGTGATTCCCAAAACCCAGGATATGCAGGGGGTATTCTAAAAAGATTGAGATTTTGCTTTGTTAAACCTATAAAACCCTAAATGAAGAGAGAGTAGGACTGTTAAAATAATTGTTGTAATTATAATAATTATTTAGTTTGTAAGTTAGTACTTATTGTGAAACAGCAGATTAACGTTCATAAACCGAAGTAACAAATTGTGGTCTTTGTGTATAGCTAGTTACACATGTAGGAACAGGCTGTGGTCAAACAGGAATATTGTCTTTGACTCTGTGAAAAAGTCCTCTATTTTAGTGATTCCCAAAACCCAGGATATGCAGGGGGTATTCTAAAAAGATTGAGATTTTGCTTTGTTAAACCTATAAAACACTAAATGAAGAGAGAGTAGGACTGTTAAAAGGTTAAAATAATTGTTGTAATTATAATAATTATTTAGTTCGTAAGTTAGTACTTATTACATATCTATTTTGTTTCATTTTATTAATGTACATTTAATTTTATTTATTTAAAGCTCTTTCTGATTGGTTGTTTGTTTGTAGTGAACAATCATTTTTAGAAATCCAGCGATTGACACTAATTGATGGGCCTGTGAGGGAACATAAAACGGTAATAGATTATTCATTAAGGCACATTTTTGTGATTTTTTAATTTATTTATTTTAGCAGCCATACATAATATAGAATATAAATATGGTATTATATTACATTTATATAATATTATATAATAATTATATTATATTATACATTGTTTGGTA